GAATAGTAAGTAAAAGTGTACATACAGTGGCTCCGTAACCCTTGCGAATTGTGACATCATCACCGCACTGGTGCGAGCACATTTTTTTTTATCAGAGCCTGAACCTGCCCATTTTGCGTGCACGACTTGGGTTTGATGCGAATTGCCTTACCGATTGCTAGATAGATGCACGCTTGTCATTCCAGTCTATATAAATTCTGTCTTTAACTTGACTCTACTCTCTACATTCCATTCTTCCTTGTGCTCTTTAATCCGAATGGGTAGCCAAAGGACAGCAGACCAAATTGGCGCGCGAAAGTGCATGGTTAATGGTTGTAAAACCGGGGGAAAAAACTGAACGATCGATTGCTAGCACGAGATGTTGTAACTCTGTAGGTGATGAGGAATGCCAAATGACAACCGATCGAGTGTCAGATCTCAAAGCAGTGAGCGATCATACGGCTTTTATAAGTTACAGCTCACCCAGGCTTAGTCAACCTGCGTATTGCTTTCTGATGCGTTCTAACAGCTCACTTGTCATTCGACCTTCTCTGCTCGGATGGACGTTGCAAAGCGAAAAACCAGGTGCTGGAAATAGGTCTGTAGGTGCAAGGACCCAAAGTCCGGGATGTAAAGATAATCACACCGCAATGCAGAGCATCTGACAACGAGTAAAACCACCTTCATTTGAAGCTAACTTGAATAATTTTCACACGAACTTAGAAGAACAGTAAAATCAGGGTAAACTATTCATCCGGCACTCTGCCCGCCCACTTGATATGAACACTGTCACCGACTAGCAAATAGCAGGTGGGCAAAACATCACACACACACACATGCAGTGAGCCGGTTCTCCAATGGAATAAAATCAAAACCGTCGATGAATTTCCACGGTCACGAAATCAGGCTGGAAAAAAATCCCACGAAAATGCTACTTCAGATAGAATGGAATCAGTTCAGTGGAATGCAATCAAACTCATACAGGCACCAAACCGAGAACGCGCACACGTGCATATTTACACAGGATACGTCGAGACTACCCCACACGGAATGCTCGCATTGGGTTAGTCATAGGAGTGGAAGAAATAATTGTGCAACAGTTGACCAGATCAGATGAGCTGAATTTACACCAATCAATTAGCACCGCAACTGCATTGCAAACAATGGGCTTTGCTCATAACCGGTGGAAGCGATAAAACCGATCGAGGTATGTGATAATCTGAGGGCTCTGACAATAAACGGTGATTTGATCTAGAAAATGTGGAAACTAACCAATATGTTTGTTTTCGATGATTTATCAACTGACTAATGCTCAAGAATTTATACGAAGATGTTTACTTGGGCAGCGTTAAATCGTTGACAGAAAACAATGATCTGTTTTCCGTTCGATGATCGAATCATGTTAAAGCGCTTAGAAGCGTGGATAGTATATGAGAGAGAGAGGGAGTGGGAGAAAGTAGTCCGTAGGCTAACACTTCCCGAGGAACAAAGATCACAATCAAAGATTAATTGAAATCAGAATGGAAAATAAAAACAGAAACAATCACTTGGTATCGAGCGACTACCGTTCGCACACGGTACTGGCAAGTGAATAGGAGAGTTAGAACTGCATGCGACAGTTTCTGCGTTCCGAGACAACAACAGGAACAATAAGAAGGGTTGATCACAACGATTCACAAACAACATCTCAAGGTGAAACTATTGCACAAATCTTCCTAGTTCGATATCACGCTCGCAAACTGTTTACTGTTTGTTTTCGGGGTAAATGATGAATCATATACAACTCTGGTTACTTTCTATGTGTACTTGTTCCTGAGGGATGCTGTTTACTGGTCTCGTAGTCAGACGCTTAGCTGAACGCGTCCACGAGCTAATGGCGTGATCAAGTTTACCAACAGATCGATGTCATGGAGTCAAATCACTAGGTGTTCGATTTGAGGAGACCGGAGATAGCATTTTTATTCACCGTAGAAGCGATTAGAATCCTCTCTCTAATCACTAAGTGCGCTTTAGTTCACATGTGTTTTGACCTTAGTGTTGGCAACTGAACTGGAGACGCTATCATGTGAAAAGCGTTCCCCGGGCAAACACCGTCACAAATTTTGTTATCGGAAACAAACATTTGTGCCCCCTAGAATACGAAAACCGTGCTGTGCTGCACTACGTGAAGGTGAATCCGCATGAGGTCACGACAGAATCGAACTTACATGTGCAATAAATTGGATAATCCGTACGAAAATGTTGATCGGTGCGTCTTTGGGAACGACAAACTTCTGGTTTTTGGGGAACAAGCTGTTCACAATGTGATGCAATTTGCTCTGTGTTTCCGAATGCTTCTCGCCCCGTATCCGCACGATGTATACCCTGGATAGAGATTGAAAATGCAGGTGGCAGTCGTGGGAAACACGCCGCGTTTGTGCTGTATTTGTCAGGTAATAGTGCAACAAATGTGATGGATAAATTCAGGTAAAAAGGTAAGCACGCAAGCCACAGGAAAGTCAACAAAGAGAGCCCATGCAGATTAACAGTGCAACCTATTAGCGGAAATTGCCCTGGAGCTACTGCATGAGTTATGGGGTCAAAGATGAGGAGAGAATAACGATCGTATTACAATTGAATATAGATCAGTAACATTCTCTCTCGCTCTCAGAAAACGATGACGCCAATCGATCGAGGAAGGGGGGATGATAGAGGCTAAAAGTATCAAGTGCCCTCGGCACAGATTAGAATCCAAACGACAGTTAGAAAAACCACCCTGGAGGTATACAACAGTCGGAAGCCATTAATAAAGAGCTACTTGCGCATGAACGGTCAAGTTCTGTGCGTATATAAAACGCTTCTACTGAGTGTATCTCAGTGTTATTCGTTTTCTGGAATGTTTAAATCGATCAAAATAGTAGTGTTTCGATCAGTGTTCAGGGTGCTTCCAAAATAATAACCTAAACTTTTTCTGCTGATAAAATGGAAACATTGGAACGCTTTTTACGCATTCCGGGATGTAATATTGTTAATTTTAAGTTATGTGAAATCCTGTGGCACTGATAATTTGGCGGAGCTGTGAAGCTCAAGAACTCAAAGAAGCCTATCTGAGTTCGAGTGTTACGCTCACAAATTACTGTGAGATAAGTTCCACCAGTTTTTTTGTACCATATGGGCGAATAATGATAATAACAACACGATTGTTCAGTCTGACACGTGTTGAAATGCCGAAGAGGAGGAAGCAAAAATTCATTGTGATAAAGCCCGCCAAATAGAAGATTTGACTGATGAACTGCCACGGACCAAATGGAAAGGATTGAAAATGGAACACTAGAGGTTGTCTCAAGCCCAGACAGGAAGGCCCTTTATGTGACTCGAAGAACATATATTCAACAACCACAACATAGTTTTTGTACACCAGATATGAAGCAACATAAATAAGGAACATATCAATGCAACAATAGAGATATTCAGATCAATTTGGTTCTCAATACGGGGCAATAGGCTTCTCTATGTTAAGAAGAAGTTAGAAAGGATCGAACTGAAGACGTATATGAAGACGTGTATGTATTCACATCACAGCACGGCACATCCAACATTCAGTACTTCCGAGTACAGAGATCACCTGTTAGAAAAATTGGAAGTTGACTGCTTCTCCTACTTAGGCAGTTGCGTGACAGACGAGATAACCAACGACGGTAGCACAGTAAAGGAGATAATCACTCACATGTACAAAGCTCGGGCAGCGTACGTATGACCGAAGCACCTGAACCAACACCGCGACGTTTCACTGAAGTTGAAAAGGTGCGTAAATAGCGCCACCTTTCGCTCAGCTCTGCAAAAAAACGTGGTTTTCAACAATCGATACTTACGCATCCCAGGTGGGATGGAGCCAGTGCGTTTGTAACCTAGATATAAGCCATCGTGTGTTTGGGAATGTGCTGAGGATGAATTCGCTATCACATCGAATTAACCTCAATACGCTTCGTAGATTAAGACACCTTTTGCGTATGTCTAATAGTAGCCTACCGCACCGTGCCTTATATGCAGTTGCACCCCCGGGCTGGAGAAAATCACATGACGGTCGACAGATGACGTTGTGATGAGGCACAAGGAAATACAACAGTGACTAGGTAAATTAATTGTCTCCTGCCTTCCATGTTAGATTCTAAAAGACTCCGCAACTAGTTAGTTGGAGACATTGAGTGACAAGGTAAAAACTGATAGCAGAAGCGTTCTTATTGTCACTTCTTATCACATCAGAATGCGTGAAAAAGCATGTGCACAGTTAGACTGTGAACTCTGTGAGTTGACAGTAAACACCCGCTCGCTTTCTCCTCCCTAAACATAAGCCCAGCCCTTGTCCAACTGGCACAGTCTCACTGGCCTTGCATGCAATGTGAGTTTGGCGCAGACCAGTGAAGTTCGCTTCACTGTATTTTCGCTGTACGAGGATGACGATGATGCCAGACAATCACTAGTTCCGTCCTCAGACGTCATTAGCGTACAATAAAACATGCTGGACTGAGTTTCGCTGATAGGTACCAATGAGTACACAGTAAGTACGAATGCCAAAGGCTTATTCAGAAGTAATGCATGCTTATTTACGGTTCACCACGTACGTGATCATCCTGCTATCTGCGACCATGGGGCGCTTCGCTGACCATAGACTTGAAGTAATCTGATGCTTCCTGTGATAACATTATCGTTAAATAGTAAGGTGAGCCCCAAACAAACTTGGTGACTTACCACAGTAGACAGGACAAAGACTGCAGACTGACCAAGGCAACTTTCGGGGTTCGATTTTTCAGGTGACTGAGACAAATTGTCATAAAATTGGCCCAATTGTTCAGAAAGAACGACTTCGTGCCCACACAAAGAAGACAAGTGACCAGTGGAAACAGGGCCTGTGGAGAAAACAACGAATCAAATTTCGATAAATTTCACCGGATAACAAACAAACGAAAAAATTGTGAGGGCAGCTGACTCAAAGGATCATTCAGATTCGCTGATGTGAGACCGAGATGGAGAGAGATTATCGGAAAGTGTCATCCCCATTTGAGACCAGTTTTTGAGTTCGTGGAACTATTAATTAAAAAGTAGAAAGTGAGATAACAAAACACTCGCAAAAATTCAAAATATGAACAAATCAGAACTGCTCTGAGTGATCACGGCTTCAGTGATGGAATGCTGTTCAGATACAGTGGGCTGGCTATGCTCGTTTCCATCTGGGGTTGCGCGGTAGTGTACTGACCTCAGTCAACTTCGATCAAACAGGGTAAACTGTGAACATCGAAGCTTTGTTAAACAAACCGAGAGTAGAATAAGAAGCGAAAAACAGATCCAACCGAGCGAGATATGAAAGCGAATGCGATTAACCTAAAAGTATTTGCCATCCAGGGCTCACGGTGACGATTGCATTTGTGTCAAACGGGAGTAAAACACGGCTGTGGAAGCAAAGTACGGATAGCTGTTTAAACATTATTCCCAAAGGTTAAAACTATTTTTCGGACGTTAATTACAAAAATCTCAGTCGTGAGCAATACTTGCATTACAAATGAATCCGTTTCATAATTTTCTGCACGAGATGTCTAACGTCCAAAGTGCAAACTAGTAAACTCCACAAAATCACCAGTTCTGAGCGCTTAACAGTAAAAAAAAGTAAGACGATACCTAAGAGATTCAGTCTCCCTAAGGTTGAATGAGAGCTCGCTGTCGCCCTGAGGAACGCTCTCATAGATTATCTCTCGAAACAGTTACCGCATACATCCCACAAACGTAGTTTCGATAAAAAAGAAGATAAAATACCGATATGCGAGGTAGATAGCCAGCTCACCTATAGGACTCAAATAACCCAGATATTAAACCTCCTAAGAAAGGGCACGAGGTGGAACTAGGGCATTCTGGTAATGCGTATTAGCGACTCCACAGGGTGACATGGCTCACTGAGCGGACCCAACGTGTTAACCACGTATCAACAGCTTGAGATCAGAGGTACTGGATACCGGCCCTCAACGGGTTGCAGTCAACTCAAATGGCCCCGCTGTATTGTGGACTAGCCGACAGCTCTTTTGTAAATCCCTAGAAAATCACCTCGGTTGAACTGGGTGGCTTGGCAGTATTTCACAAACAGACAAATCACTTCTTTGGGATGAATATGCTTGCACCATGACTTGATTAACAGTTTGATCCAAAGAAATGGGAACTACATGAATACCAAAGTTGGAAAAATGCAACGACAAATAGTGTTAGAGAAACCACCAGTCATGATGACAGCCGCGAGGAAAGTACACAATGGTAATTGGACGATACTACTACAGTGGTCTCGCCCACAGCGTACTCCCGAAGAACGGTCATTTATCCGAACGAACACATTGTCCAAACCCGGTTGATTTCACTAATGAACTCTCCCTTCAAGTGAACACGGCAATTGATAAAAACGAGCATTTGTTCTTGTGCTAAAACGGCTTGTAGGCCCTCTTGTCAGGTGTCAAATATTGCACTCGAGTAACCAGCTGTAGACAATATAGACCACCCCGTTGTTACATTTAACAAACGTTATAGGTGGATGTCCAGGATCTCGGTATGCTATATCGGAGATCAATAGTCAAAAGTCGATTGTTTAGGCCCTGGACAAGTATATCCTTAGGTGCGCAGCGCACAAATCCCGACTAAGAAAAAGAAATAACTGTAGTTTATAAACTTATTTACACTAATCGGATTGTCTTGTGCGGAACAATCACTTAGTAATGGAGCTTTTACCATACACCGCCTGATGTGATAGAAAGCCGCTGGTTGCTCCTTTGTCTAATTGTTTGCGATTTTCCTCTAAGCGTTAATCATCGAATGGTGGCGCAGTGGTTTAGTCACCTTGGACCCTATGGTCCGAGGTTCGAGCCCCGCCACTCAAATTTAGGGCGGTGTTGAACAAGTGGTTAGGTCACCAACTTGTGACCAATAAGTTCCGGGTTCGAACCGCTCCACCACCGCCCATCTTCCCAGGCAGCCTTTGCTTGGCCGCGGCCCCCCTTCCTGAATGTTGATTGCACATTTGTATATACTCAATAAATAAAACAAGTAAAAAGGTACTTTTATTATTATTATTATTATTATTATTATTATTTAATTCCGTTAGTTCGGGTACAAATCCGCTGAGATAACTGATCATTACCTGGTTCAAATTCAAAATTTTATTATGGGTAAATTACAAAGCTGATACCTATTGAATCCCATAGGGTCTGTACATATTGCGTTCGGTTGGTAGTACAACTGAATAGCAAATTCTGACGCTCACTCATGGGTACTGAAACGTTAGGTGGCTCAATGCTTTATCCAGTCGTGACTTGAATGAATCGATGGTTGGTGCACAAACAACTTGAAGTGGAAGAGAGTTCCAGGGGTTACAAACTCTAAGGCTGAACGACGCTTGCAGTCGAGCCGGATCTTTCGGAGCAGAATTTTAAACGGATGTCCTCGGAGGTGACCATTCCTGGATAGCGTCACTAGAGTACTACACGGGTGGTTAGGTTGATGTAGTAGAGTCCAAGAATTCGCAGTCTTTCACTGTAGGTCTTAGATTGTAACCCTTTGACCATCCTGGTTGCTATTCTCTGCGGACGTTCAAGTGCCTTTTGGTCGCAAATCAGTCATGGATTCCAAGCTTGTATAGCATACTCGGTGTGGTCTAATGTATACTGATAATAGACGGGGCAATAGATCTGTTTTGAATGATCTCAAAACACGTTTTAGCAATCCAACGTGTTGCATAGCCTTCGAAGACGCTCTTGCGCAATGTGTGGAACATCCTAGATCCTCACAAACGATAACTCCCAGGTCCTTTTCGTTTGGAGAACGCGGCAATGGCTGAGTTCCAAGTAAGTATGGAAAGCGACCCCTGTGGTGCAGCGATACAACCTTGCATTTTTCAACATTGGATTCGATGTCATTAATAATGGACCATCGATAAGCTGCGTCGAGAGTTTCCTGCAAGGTTTCATAATCTTCAAGATATTTCACCGTACTCCATGTTTTAGCGTCACCAGCGAATAATAATGCCCTTTCTCCAAGGACATCTGATAGGTCGTTCATGAATGCTAAGGAAAGGTACGGACCGAGTATGGATCCTGTGGAACTCCACGGACAGCCTCAATCCGACAGAGAACTATTAACTCGAACCGATACGGTAAGCTGTCGAAGAAATTCCTCAATCCAGTCCAGTAGCAGTCCTCAGACACCGCAATTATGGAGCTTTCGCAGCAATATATGGTGGTTAACCCTGTCCAAAGCTTTGGACAAGCCTAGGTAGACTATGTCTACTGCCTCTCTTGCGTCGACTGATATTGTCCATTCATCTCGTGCAAGTAGCAGGTTTGTGGTGCACGAGCGTTTCCTTCGAAACACGTGTTAAGCCGGCGAAAGTATGTTATGCTTCTCGAAATGATCCATCAAAGAATCAGCAACAATCGATTCCATTACTTTTGACAGAACAGAAAGAAGTGTAACTGGACGGTAGTTCACAGGATCACTTCCGCAGCCACCCTTGTAAATAGGCGAAAGGATACCGTGTTTACAGGATTGAGGGATCTTCGCCTTGTCAAACATTCTTTGGGATAAATGGGCGATTATTTCATATATGTAATTTGCCAAGGACGTCAGGGTCTGTAGCCGGATGTTGTCTTCCCCTGGAGATGAATTCCGGTGCAGCGCCAATAGTTTGATCTGACCGTTTCAGATTTGAACGTGACGGTGGTCAGTTGGGGGTTGGGACACATGATAGAAGGTGTGGAAGCTGTAATCCGCCTTCGTTACGTGCAGTAAACACATCGTAGAACTGCACTTTTAGGAATTCGGCTGTTTCAGCAGTAGTAGTGGAAACACGTCTTGCATGTCTTAGTGCCGGTATTCCATATTTCACTTTTCTGGTAGCATTGATATGCTTATGAAGTAGCTTTAGATTGGCAGTAGATTTATGAGCCAGAGTTTCTTGAAACCTGCGTTTATCCTCTCGTACCAATTTTAAACAAAGGTTTTTCAACAAGAACTAGTTATTTCAAGTGTCGGCGGTCGGATATCTTCTGAACCCTCGCCAGTAGAAATTCCTCTGTGACATCCATTTCTTCGATCGACTACGGATAGGTGGTAATCGTGCAAGCAATGCACCAACAGGCTTGGTTTTTGTGGCAACCGTTTTGAGTTCTGTTAGTGTTTCAATGAATCGTTTCCAGGGCTCCAGTGGATCTAGCTGCTCTTCTAGTTGTGTCCATTGTTTGACAGTAGCAAGGTTCAGCAATTCATTGTGGTCAATAACGGCGAATGTGTTGGTTTTCAGGTATATTCCTATTTAATCGAAAAGCAGAACTGCATGGTCGCTCCGTCCTAATGGAGACGTTAGTTCGACCGATCCGATCATAAGCTCCTCGCTTTTCAACGCCAAGTCCAATGTTGATGGTTGTTAGCCTGTTCCAAATCTGGTGGGATTCGTCACGTAATAATACATCGGATGTGAGTCTATAAACTGTGATAAATTTCGCTCGCAAGGGTGGTGATAGTTCTGGCTTTTTATAAAATTGGGGCAATTGAAGCCCCCCATTTTAAGAACATGAGTGAACTTTACTGAGACAGCGTTTCTCATAGTCTGCAAGAATGCCTCATTAGCTAAGTCTGAGGATGCAGGAGGGCGGCAGACTACATCGATCAAACAATTGTTATCTTTGGACAGCCTCAGTGTGCACCAAAGTGTGTTGGGGGCTGCATTGAAGAGATCGAGTGGTTCACATTGAAGGTTGCTACGGAAATATAGCAGCACACCGCCACCTCGTGTAGAACAATCACACCTCAGCAGTAACATTCCGGGTAGGTGCGATTCCGAATCGAGAAAATCGGCAGTCAACCAAGTTTCGGTAATGGCAATAAGATCCCACTGACCAGTTGTACGCGCACTTGAACCTCAGGGAGTTTGCTAAGGAAGCCTTGTGTGTTAATATAAAAACAAACTAGGGAGCGTGAGTCATCATGCGAATCGATCAGGGTGCCAGTGGCTTTATCCAGTCCTAGTGTTGTTAAATTCCTTACATGATGAACTACCATGACCACAGAATCTGACGTCCTATTGACAAAAAAACGGCCTGTCTTTTTTCCGTTTGATTCGGTTTCGGATGCAGCGCTGTAAAATCCCTGCAATACGTCCGTCAAGCTCTTCTGTATCTTTGGCAATGATGTAGATACAATATGCCGCTTAGATGATTCGCTTCGGAAAATTTTTATTGATTACTTAAGCCAAACTACAGTCTTTTCCAATGACATCCGTCTAGTAGTGTACCAAAAGCGATTAGATAGCGATTGACACATCATCCAAAAAGGCAGAGGCTAACACCACTTTGGTGAAGCACCAATCATTCCTGGAATGAATCATAAAAATAGGTAAAGTGAAGTGTTCAACTCTTAGCATGTTTTAACAATATACATACAATACAAATTCTGAAGACACCACCAGTTTCACTATCTTCAAACGCCTCAATAATTGCGGTGTTTCAGAGCACAAATATTGTTTCTGATGCGCATGAACCCCCAAGACAGTAAAACGAANTACGTTGTTTTCCGATGGATTGACATCTGAGTCTTATGTAATCAAAGAGGTAATATCCCACTCGGCTAATTACGGTTTCTTTATCAGAAGAAAACGTGGAAAATGTAATGACGTAGGCCTCAGAAGATAATACGAATAAAGAAGAGATTGCCGAGTGTGAAAAAATTCCAGGAGAGAAGTGCAACTTCGACCATATAATTGGAGCGGAAATTTTCACTGGAATCGTACCTGGAATTCATACCCGAACTAAAGAGCACAGAAACGAAGCTGGCATTTTCGGGTCCAATGAGCGAACAAAGAAGAAAGTCGGTAAGAGCTAGGAGGGGGGCAAACTCACAGGTATGTGTTTTTTCTTATTGGCCAGTTCCAAACTGGTGGGATATAAGTTTTCAACGAAGTTCTTCAGAGCCGGTATATTCACCTCTTGTCGAGCGACGGCCGCGACAGGGAGCAGGATTTCCACAAACAGGTCAGACAGTACGTGTTTGATCTCGGGCTCTTTTACTTCAAGGAAGTACTGACCCAATTCTTGAAGAAAGGTGAAGCAGTTCACGAAGTCCTCGATCGGATGCATCTGTTATTCAGAAAAGGATCAAAGTTTCGTCAAATTAACGCCCATTGTAAAGGAACATATTGGTAGTGAGTAGAGGGAAAAGCATACACCAGTTCGAGTAGAAAATAGACAATGAAAATGAGCCATTGAATGACACCGAATGTTCATTGCTTCGAATAGCTTTTTGATTCAGTCCGTTTATTCGTAAAATCCGATTACTATTCTCTATATCACGAAGTGGTTATCAAAATGTCATGAAACTTTTACACGGAGGCGCAAGGTGTATCTGATACCTTTAGAATCCTTCAACATTCTTTAGCTCTTTGTCTTTTATCATTAACCAACTCTTACCGGCAGTTCCAAGAAGCTCACCCATCAGCGGCAAACCGCTCCACGAGTGAGCTGAACCAGGTTGAGGGTAACCCAATCCATCATCAACCATCAAGAATGTCTTTCAACACAATCGAGTGGTAGTACCTAGGACTTGTATCAACCAGTGACGTCAAATTGCAGTGTTTAGTCCTCAACAAAGATGCAACAGTAACCTACCGCAAGAAAGCCTCAATCTAAGACTTACCAAAAACGCTGCTTGCTCCATTTCGATGAAACGGTGGCTTTCGATAAACAATGCGCAGAATATTCTGACTAACCTAGTTTGCAATATATTGAAATCCGAGGGACAGGTTGCTCGCACCTTTCAAGTCAAGCTTCAATGCGCCGGAAACCAGAGAAACTGGCCATCTGTCAAAAAACACTGGACCACGGCTGGGAATGTCCAGAGAACAGGAAGACATGCATACATTTGGCCGCAACAAATGTGCTGATTAACTAAACATGGACAGCATTCGGAGTGGAAAGCAGTTCGAACGAGAACAGTTAATGGCTCGGGACTGACACGCTTGGACAGACTTACCTTGACCCGAAAAAACTTCATGCCCATTATCAAGGAGACGATACTGGGTTTGACGTTTGGACTGTTCTCTTTAGCCCGTAGTTCGTTCAAATGACGTGTGAAGCGAGATCGGACCAGAGCAAACCTGATGTGGTATGCAATGATTGGGAGAAGCACATCACAGACATGAGAACAACAGAGACATTGAATTCTGAAGGCGAGGGTAGTGATTTATAGTGGATGGGGAAACAGCAAAATCAGGTGTCCAGGACGAAACCGACACTTGTCATTCGTGGAGAGAACATCCGAAACTGAGTTCTGTTCAATTGAACTGCTGCACAAAGTGGAAGTCGTTTGACGAAATTTTTATTCAAACATAAGGCAGTGTACGAAAATAAGAGAGTATTGAAATACCAGTGTTATTCTTCTTTATTTTACTTCTATTGTGATTTGCTTTCTCGGGTTTACACAAGCTATCGATCCAGCCACATTCGCTATTTGGCATAACCCACACGAAAACGTAAGCACGATTTTTGTGTCTATGTCAAGAGATTCAAAAAGACAGAATGAAAACAAACACGGTGTTCAACAAGAGAGAAAGGAAAATAACAACTAACCTTGACTGGGACAAAACACCCACGATTTCCGCGTACAGATCAGCAACCAGATTAACATTTTCACTGTTCTGTGGTTGAAGACTGAAATAGATACACAAAAGTGAACGTATTAGTGGTGCCTTAAATATTCCCACATTAAACCTCGGTAATACACATGGTCCTTTTGTCATTGATCGAACGAGAAAAACAAATGACTTCAGGCTGTGTGCAATACAGATCACAGCACAATGATCTTTATAACAAGGATGAAAAGTTGGATAATTTGCCTGGGGAATTCACAACCGGAGCCTTCGGCTAACCAAAGCCTGATCCGCAAGGTAGGTACTATTATTCGTTTTGTCTATTTAGTGAGCCTCTAACTGTGAAAGACACCATAAGGAGTAAAACACAGCATTACGAAGTACTACTGTCCGATAAACGAAAATCCCAGACACGCAACGTGGTGGTGATGATCGTCGTCGCCACTTGCGTGCATCAAGCCTTGATATCCGAACTTTTAATTAAACTTTCGTTGTAGATAACCTCGATTTCACTCAGAATAGCATCCGTGCTGTTTTAATGGGGCCTCCTGTGGTTCACCAGTGAAGGTGTCCGAGCTTCGGCTGAGGGTTACCACATTACAAAAGATTCTCGTGATAATGAAGTTAATCGGTCCTACTATGCACCACACTATAGACTGTAATTGCAGCGGAAACATCAGTTATAAAAATGGGGTTGATTATTAAGTCAAAAGTAATACGATTTCATTAGTAAACTGGTCTCAAAACACTAAGTACAATTGGGAACCGTGGGCTATCGGCTCAAACGTAAATTTATAAATTACCGTGTGATTTATAATAGTCCAGTGAGCTTCGCGAAATCACTTTTCACATGCTTATTGCAGTCCACAACCATTTGATTTTGGTGGTAGACAGCTTTGCTGTCGTCCGATGAAACACCACACCTAACATAGCGGGGTCTTACGTGATTCGCCAATCGAAGTCCCTAGGCTTAGGTTTCCATGACTGAACAGCAGTTCTTCAGAACCATGGGGTTTACCTCATTTGCTGCCCATCACACATGGACGTATAATAATAATAATAATCATAATAATAATAATAATAATAATAATAATAATAATAATAATAAAAATAATAATAATATATTTAATTGTTTAAAAATGAAAAGTATTATCAAAATTGAAATTAATTAGTGAACTAAACATGATATTTTAGGGATTCATCAAAGAAAAGAAATGGCGAACTAGCATCTATAACCAATTCACGCGCACTAACGAAGCAAAAGTTGGAAAAAGGGATTAGAAGCTTACTCTTCTCGATATTTAAATCGTCGAAACGACTGGTCAAGAATCGTTTCGATCAGTTGGTTGTTCCCCGGATGATAAGATAGCTGTCGCAGAACCGACAATACCACTTGACAGAACACGATATCAATAGCGAGCTAAAGAAAAAAATACATTCGATGAAGGAAAAGAAATAAAGAAACCAAATACATACATCACGACGCTCGGCCAAAACACGCATTTCCGAAGACAAAATGCATGTACTTTTCGTGGTGCATTGAATATCACTGATATTCGGTATAATTTTTTCCGATTTACCGGAAACATATGGTGCAGCAGAGGTGTTTACATGTCGTGGATTATCCTTCGCACTGCCCATTATCAAGCAGCTCGTCATCATGGGGTTCTCTTCCTTGGCTGTCAGATGACGCTTGCGATGTGCCGCATAATTTGTTCCCGATGAGTGTTGAGACTGGTACCACTGAATTAATGCACGAAGTAACGAGGGTAATGCGAATTCAGCGGATACATAAAACGAATCCAGTAACTGTTCAAAGGCGGCATCCTCGGACAGACGCATACTTTTCATCAAATTGTTTTCCTATTTGAACGGATGAAAGGATAAAAAAGGTCAACTCCTCACTCACATGCCCCTCCTCCAGGGCTTTCTCAATTTTCGATTTAGTCAGGGAGACAAACTGCCGCAGTAGTGTAGAAACCACCAGCTCGCCTGGTTTGATTGTCATCATGATGGTAGGGGGAAATGAATCACGTCCAAGCAGGATTGGTCATTCCTTAAAATTATTGATAAATAAAGCATCAAGATTAATCAAGAAAGAATTTTAGGATTAGGACAAAAGATAACACATGTGACAGACATAGAAGTATCATTACATGTGCAACCTACCTTGCAAGTTAGGCTTTGGTTATCCGAAGGCTCTGGTAGTGAACTCCCCAAAAACATTCACTTGCCTAGGCAACCTGGCAATATTCCGTCCACAAGCAAATCATGGCACGTTTTCCTTTTTATAAAGATTGTTGTAGTAATTTGTTTGGCACACCGTTTGAACTCAGAGGTGTGTGAAATACAGAACTCCGATATTTGTACTCTCCCTCCAATTGGCCCATTGCATTAATTTATTGTTTCTTGCTCTATTATTTTACTAGTAGCAAATTGCCACCTATCTCGAGACACATTTTGGGGGCACAACTCAGCCAAGTGGCATGATTTTCGTGCTTTCTTGGCTCCTTATCTTTAGGAGGACGGTTTTTTTCTTTTTGGACGTTTCCAAATTCACCGACCTTGTTCCTCAGGGTATGCATCTTTCTATTCCAGACTTTCCCAGATCCGGAAAACTGGAATTCTTCGAGTGGTTTAACCACATATGTGATCGTGCTGTACGCCTGAAACGTTCAGTCTTCCGCCGCTTGCCCAATCTCGACTCTCACTATCGCTTCGTGCAAGCTAGATGTTTGACAACCACTCAGAGAACCAAAGAACGCTTTAAGCGCTCTAAGGCTATAGACTTGGTCTCGTCCACCACATTTAGTCGAATATTTTACTCCCATGCCAAAGCAACTCACGGAACGTTCTTTTTCATAAAGATTATTGTACCATGATTTGTTTGGCAACGAGTCTGGATTCAGACGTGTGTGAAAATATATGAAATACATAAAGCAATTTCCCGTAATTTCTGCCCCTCCAACAACCTCCCCCCCCCCCCCGCGCCNTATGTCAACCACACCAGAAAGTCGGGGGGTTTGTTTCCCAGTTTGCCGCCAGCTCCACCCTCTTCCTACTTCAGCGACAACTCTTTTCTATTTCATATCAACTCTAGGAAAATTCGCGCTCTCTAAAGGCAAACAGACCACCCAGTCCGGATGGCATTCGACCCATCGCCTTCAGAACGTATGCTCCCGAGTTGGCTCCTCTTTTCCATCGTCTTTTCAGTTTTTCGCTCCAACCATGTACTTTCCCAACCCCTTGGAAACAAGGCGTGATTTTTTCCATTTATAAATGCGGTGACCTTTTTGAACCCGACTATGACTAACCCATTTCTCTTACATTTGTTCTCTCGAAGTTATCTGAAACCATCATCTCCGACCAACTGTGAGCATTCCTCGAAAGTGAAGGACTACTGAGAGACCGCCAGAATGGTTTCCAGCAGCGTCGTTCCACCGGTGACCTGATCGCCCTTTTCTCACAATCCTGGTCGGCTGCACTCGATAGCCAGGGAGAAACGCACTTGCTCACCTTCCATATCTTAAAGGCCTTCATTCGAGTTTGGCATGAAGGTCTACTGGAGAAACTGTCCGTGTTTGTGTTCCCTCCAGGACTCGTATTGTGAATGTAAAGTTTCCTCAGTAAGCGAATCATCTCCGTCCGAGTTCTATCACAACCATTCCTTGTGAATGTTGCCATTCTCCAAGGTTGAAGTTGACTTAAGCACCTATGGTGACGTGACGTTTAATTGAAGATGAAAAGTCGCGTATACTACACCACCCAACTATCACTTCTCATTAACGGTTGTGAGACCTTGAGTTTGTGAGTAGAAGACATCCGTATTTTAGCATTTTTGGATGCTTACGTAGACTATCCCAGGTTGGATGGGGTTGGCGGGTTAGTTTATCAGATCTTATTTACTTACTTAACTTAGAAGGCGACGGGTATTTGGGAATACATTGAACAAGAACTCGCTATCGCAACGAATTTAGCTCAATAGGCTCCGTTGGTTAGGGTACGTTTGGTGTATGTCCGACGATCGTCTAACGCAGCGCGCCTTATTCGCAGTGGCTGTTACAGAGTGGAGAAAGCCACGCGGAGGCCAGTAGATAACGTAAAGACGAGGCATGAAGACATGCACAGAATGATTAGGTAAGGTAGGTGTCTCTCGTCTTCCGGGTTGGGGTCCGAAAAACCTCCGTAATCAGATGGTTGGAGACGCTGAAGGTTATGGCTGTGAACCGACAGCAATGGTGATCATTCGGTTACTTCTTATCAGTCCAAAATGCTCGAAATAGTATGTATGCACAGTTGGACTGTGTACCCTGTGTGTTGACCACAGAGGTTCAATCTCTTTTCCCGTCCCTAAAATCAAGCCCAATCCCTATCCTCCTCACACATTCTCACTTAACTTGTATGCAATATGACTTTAGCAGCGATCAGTGAAATGATGATGAAAACGATTGAAGCATGAGAGAACGAAATCGGCCTTACAATTCTGGATTACTACTTTTGCACTCAGCCGGAGACTGAAGACTGTAACACAAATGAGGCATCAGGCTATATTTGGAATGTTAGGCTTGTGGTGCTCTTCTGGATTGGCATAACGGGTTATTTCATGGGACATGTGCATATGGGATGTATGACGAAGTGAAAGTCTGGTGCACAATATGCAGAGTTGATCACCATTTCAGCATTCGCCTCCTGAGGAACCCCATAAAAAATTGTGTTTCTAATGGGTCTGCTGTAACGGTACGTCGCATCATTTTATAAACTCGATCGTGGAAAAGGGCAAACTCTATGTTACTTAGACCGCGAGCATTACACTGTAAGGCTCTTGACACACGAAGATAAACACTATTTGAGGCCTAATCCCCAGAATTTGGCGGGCATTGTTAATGCTTACATTGAGGGTTTATAGCATTGTCGCATTCAACTCTGCGCTGACCGTGGCTGTCACAATGACATTTTTGCATCTACTCATTACCCTTGCAACCCGTTTAGTCAAATTTTCTATCTCTGCTTTGACTCTAGTCTCAGTATTTCATTTTTTGCTTCTGTTTTTTGAAACGAATTGACGGCAAAAAGACAGCGTAAGAAAGTGCATGTTTTATGGTTAAGACTGAACGCATCAGCATCATAGTACAGCGAAATACAGTGGAGCGAACTTCATTGACCGCGGCCAAATTCGCAGTGCACACAAGGTTAGTGGTAAAATTTAAGGTGGACAGGGATTGGATCTATTTTGAGGGAGGGAGAAGAAGATAAGCCACTATGGTCAACACACAGAGTACGCAATCGAACTCTGCATACATACCGTTTCAAGCATTCTGACCTGATAAGAAACGACAACAGGAAAGCCACTTCTGCCGGTTTGCTACCATATCCTTCAATGCCTCCAACCAACCAGTTGTGGAGTCTTTCGGACCCCAACCTGGAAGGCGAGAGACACGTACTCTACCTAATGACTCTGTGCATTTCTTCATGCCTCGTCTCCACGTCATCTGTTGACCTCCACGTGGTTTCCTCCAGCCTGGAGTAGCTACAGCGAATAAAGCGCGGTGCGGCAGACGATGGTTGGGCATACGCAATACATGCCCTAGCCATTGAAGCCTGGTAATCTAAAATCGGTATGCTAGCAGGTTTATACCTGACAGACTCCCAAACATACGACGGCTTACCTCCACATTACTAACCGGCTCGCTCCATCCAACATGGGCTAAACTGCGTAAACACCGATAATCGAAAACTTCTAGTCGACGGATATCTTCTACTCGCAAATTCAGGGTCTCACAATCATAAGTTCAGTTCAGTTTTACAATCATTAACCATGCACTTTCGTGCGCGGATTTTGGTTGCTGTCTTTTGGTTGCCCATTTGGATAAAATGGCGAAATGAAGATAGGAGTGTCGAAGCAAATTCAAGGGGAAGATGGGGAATACATATAGAGTGTGTTAGGAAAATAACGAGTGGATGCACGAGCGCCACTGTTTGCGACACCCAGCCATATCACTCAGTGTCTCTAACCATCGGTGACCATCATCCCGAGGTCCCCAGCCAGGGAGCCTAACGGGGCCTGTGTGACCTAGTCTCCTGGTT